TACAAAAAATATCCAATCACCTGTATTCTGTAAGTTCTTGCGAGTGTTAGTAAATATAGGAATTAATTAACTGTTATCGAAATACTTGAAAATATTGATAAATATTTAAAAACAAAATATTATTGTAAATTTTTTGAAGATTCTGATAAACATGTAACTAACATCTGTCGTTTAAATAAGAAAATATATAACTTGTAAATCAATTCCTCGCATATTTTACAAGAATCCTGTTACCTCCTCCTCCTCCCGACCCTCCCTCCCCCCCCTCCTTCTTCAAATCCCCTCTCCCTTTACCCACCCCTAACCACCATCCCCCCTTAACACCCCCACCACCCCCCAAAAAAACATAAATTTCACCCCCAAGCATAAATCTCTACGGCACACAAGCAACGATAATAAAACGCCAGTTCTTGCTTGCTTCATCTCGTCATTTTTTCCCCCGACATTAAGTGAAAAATTACATAGACGGTGTTTTAATGAGTGAGAGACGAGCCCCTTACTTAACTCACCCACGCTGTCATTAAGGCCAAGACGTATACACCTGGGATTACCTTAAATATACCTGGGATTACTTTGAAAATTCCTGGGATTATTTTGAATACACCTGGATTATTATACCTGGGATTAACTTAAACTTACCTGGGATTACTTTCTCTATAGCCTGGATTAATTCAATGTTATGTGGTCTCGTGTAATGAGAGAGAGAGAGAGAGAGAGAGAGAGAGAGAGAGAGAGAGAGAGAGAGAGAGAACATGACCCCCTCCCACAATCTTACACAGTTTCTGGTAAATGCCTCACGAACACGGAATTTTTCTTCTCCATGAACTCCAAGCTGACCTGCATGGCCCCACCTGACCTCTCACCTGACCCTAGCTTGACCCCACAGGTGCCTGGAGAGTTGACCTGACACCTGGCAAGTCCCGCTGACCACACGGTCTTTATGAGGTAGTCTGTGAGGTGGCTTGATGAGGCTGTATGTTTATGAGTTGTGTGTGTGTGTGTGTGTGTGTGTGTGTGTGTGTGTAACCAAAATCCATACATACACCCCCCCAATACACACTGAAGCTCTCTGTAGACGCGCCAATGCCTATCAGCTACACGGACTCAACACACTGGGAGCCACACCTAAGAAACACCATCAGAAATTCTTGTAATCTATGGGAAAATCCGATTACGCAGATTTGGTTAAACGGCGTATGACCAGGTGGGGCTTAGGGTCCCTGTCTCATTAATAAACGTCCAGTTAAGAAACCATAGCCGGGTCTATTACAGTTATTTTTGGCCTTGAATGACCTTGGCCTAGCCTAGACAGTTACTTTTTAACCCTAACTGTTATTTCTGAGTCTCTTAACTGTGATATGGGCCTAGCCTAGACAGTTACTTCTGAACCTAACTGGTGACTGAACTGTGATTTGGGTGTTCTGTTGTCAAGCGAGAGGAAGGGGGGGGGGGGGAAGAGAAGGAGAGAATGAGAGAAAGAGAAGAAGAAAGATAAACAAATAAAGAAAGAAATAAGATAACAGAATCAAAAGAGGAATAAAATTAGTAAAACGATACACACACACACACACACACACACACACACACACACACACACACACACACACACACACACACACACACACACATTATTATTGTCACGTGCCACGCCACACACACACACACGGCTGCACAATAAATTCAATAGTTTATTATAGTACTATTAATATTACTTGGAGTGTTAGCTCACGAGATCACAGTATAATGTTTCTAATGTTTCATAGGTTACAGAGGGCTGTCTGATTGTCTGTATAAATAATAATGTAAAAGATAACATTATTTTTAACCTTCTTACGCTTGCTCATATATATATATATGTGTGTGTGTGTGTGTGTGTGTGTGTGTGTGTGTGTGTGTGTGTGTGTGTGTGTGTGTGTGTGTGTGTGTGTGTGTAGAATTTGATCTGGGGACGGTTTTGACTCAGGGTAGATGAGGCTTGGAAGAGGAAGACAGATGGAGAAGAGGAGGAGAAGGTGGAAGTAAAGGAAGAGGAGGGGGAAGAGAGAGAAGAGGAAGAGAGAAAGAGGAGGAGGAGGAGGTATCCGCTGAGCCAATATACACGCTGGTATAGTAGACGTTAACCACTCTAGGTGCAAGGCGTCTAGGTGTAAATTACTCTAGAGTGCGTTTCACCAGCAGGCACTCTAGAGGTTAGCCCACCGAGAGTGTTTGACGCCTCCTACACCCGGTCTTGGATCTGTGGTCTGGTGTGTAAGGACAATGGGGGGGGGTCAGGTCTGTAGCTGAGAGAGTAGAGAGAGAGAGAGAGAGAGAGAGAGAGGGAGAGAGAGAGAGAGAGAGAGAGAGAGAGACTGGTATGGTGATGCTGTAGTGTGGCACCCAGCTGAAGCAACAGTACACACGGTGTGTAGAACAAGGGTAAACATTTCATGTAAACAAACAAATGTAGAATAGCGTATATACAGGTAGGAGGAGGAGGAAGAGGGGGCAGGAAGGGAAGAGGGAGGAGGGAAGAAGAAAGAGAGAGGAGAATGTGCAGGGAGGGAGAGAGGGAGAGGGGGAGAGGGCTGAGGGAAAATGTTGCTGAGAGGGAGGAGGGAGGGAGGAGGAGGAGGGATGAGCAAAAGGAGAGAGGGAAGAGAGGAGGAGGAGGGAGAGAGGGGAGGGATGGTAGGAGGGTAGGAAAGGAAATGAAGGGTGTGCTGTGTATGGCAGGTGAGTAGTATGGGCATCTGTGCTTCCAGAGAGAGAGACTGTGCACACACACACACACACACACACACACACACACACACACCAGTCATAAAACTCTCCCTATTAACTGGATATACTAAGAACAGTCAGGATAATGGTTAGGATGGGATGGTGAGAAGGATGGTAGGATAGGAAGGATCCAAACAAGCAAACAAACAAACAAATAAACAAACAAACAAACAAACACCATCAGGTTATCTCAGCCAATTTCAACCAAACAAGTATTTATTATTACTTTTTTTACTAATAAGCAAAAAGTAATTACCGACACACACACACACACACACACACACACACACACACACACACACACACACACACACACACACACACACACACACACATCATCATCATCCTTGACAGACTTTTCGTTAAGCAACAAATACATTTTTATGTTAATAAGTAAACAGCCACATTTAGTCACTTTAAAAAACTTGATGAATTTACACTCAGTAACAAATAAACTGGTATTGTAAATGTAAACAAATAAATAAAAACTGGACGATAACAAATACACCATAACTTCGTCAACAGGCAAACAATGTGTCATAAACCCATCAACAAACAAATGAAGGCAGACAAACACAGCCGACAGGTGCAGACACTAAATATTTCAACCAGGTAAAATTCCCTTAATTATCAGCTAACCCAACAACAACAACAACAATAACAACAAGATTCAGGTAACCTAGCTGTTGTGATTACTGTACAGGTAAGGAACGTGTGTGGTCTCTGACGATGAACTAAGACCCTTTAATCCACGTTGCTAGTCTTAATGGTTTGATAGAGACATTAATATCAGCATCATTATTATTATCAACACAATCATTAAACAACAACAATTTTATCAACACCACCACCACCACCACCACCACCACCACCACCACCATACCACCACCACCATCACTACACCACCATCCCCCACCACCACCATATCACCATCACCACCACCACCACCATCACCACACCACCTACCATCACCACCACCATCACCACCACCACCACCACCACCATCACCACCTACATCACCACCTACCACCACCACCACCACCATCACCCACCATCACCACACACGCCACCACCACACCACCACCACCACCACCACCACCACCACCACCCACCACCACCACCACCACTCCTGCCACCATCACCACCACCACCACCACCACCATCACCACCACCACCATGCCTACGCCACCACCACCATCACCACCACCACCACCCGTCTTTCAACACCTCAACCACCACCACCATCCACCACCACCACCACCACCGTCACACACCAACACCTCAGCCACCACCACCACCATCACCACCATCACCACCACCCGTCACACACCAACACCTCAACCACCACCGCCACCCGTCACACACCAACACCTCAACCACCACCGCCACCCGTCACACACCAACACGGACACAATAAGCCCCCATCGGTGGTAGTGGGTCTCCTTCAGCTACAAGACGGCTATAAATAAAATCCCCAGCCCCTAGGACGTAGATAGCCCTCAACACATAATTTACCCCCCCCCCCCCCCCAGGCTTTTTATGTGAGGAGTAAGGCACTATGTGGAGGTCATATAACAAGTACTAAAAGAATGGTGTGTTGGTCGACCTGTGAAACCGCTGTTGCCTGAGACCTCCTCGATGCTCGTGGTGCCATGAACTGTTGTACAGGTGTCAAGGAGAGAAATGATAAGGCAAATGTAAACAAGATGCTGTTGTGAATTAATGTTTTCGCGGGAGTATTTATTTTCTTTTAATCCACAGGTGTTGTTACCGTTACCTCTTGTTATATTAACCCAGGATAAGAACTTTAATCACCCGTATTTTACCAGTAATAGACATGCAATTATGATTACAAAGTAGGGATAATGCATTTGTGTTAATTATAGCCAAGGAAGCCATAAGAATGAAATGTAATTGGTAAAAAAAAATATATATATAATATGACCCGGAGGATAACCCACCAATGAGATAGGAGACCCCAAGGCGCGGGTAAATACACTCGCTGGCAACCTCAGGCATCATTGTTGTCACTTACCAATAACAACATGTGCACCCAACTTCACCCTCTACACCGGTTATCGTTATCGTTATTGTGTTTTGGTACGATAGTCTAACAGATGGCTTTCAAAACAAGCTAAAATTACGACTCGTTGTATGTACCAGTGAGAAAAACAGCTAAAGTGAAGCTTGGGTCAACATCAGTGGCCAAGATGAGAGCGTCAGAATCTTACCTTGGAGGGAGCGCAGTTTACTCGCAGCGGTCAAAGTGGTGGGTACGTCGACTGTCCCTCCTGTCACCACCGACACACTCCTCATACACGGTGTATTTGTGGACTCAGACAGTTCTTGTGCTGTCGCTGGCCTTATTTTAGCCTCTGTGAACGATACAAGTCATCTCGGTGTGGAATTAAGACTCGTAAACACCGTGTTTGAAGATGACATAGGACAGGTGCGCGACCACTGGACACCCCCAAAAAGATCAGATTTAGAGATTGTTGTCGTGTGTGTACGTCTGTCTGGCGGTGAGAAAAAGTTACATATCATTCGAATTGTTTGTATACAACCTGCGTGAAGCTACCGAGAGGCCCATACGGGTGTCTTGCTGCAGGAGTGAAGCAAGTGTGGTGGTGAGGGCTGACACTTGCCTCCCTAGCCAGGATAACGCCTCTCGCGCCACCATCGCCACGCCCTGGCCACGATTTAAAGCCCCTACACACGGTAAGTGACTATTTAATGTGACGTATAATTAATTAACCCGATAACTGAAGGTGATTGGGTTAATACCAGTTGTTTTCTGAGCGGTGTTTGATGTTGTTATACAGTGTTAAAGGTCGACCCATACAAGAGGGAGAGTTTTCACTCAATGGGTTTAAAGTCCATCTACATTTGGTGACGCTGAAGGTGTGAGGGAGGCGGTGTAGGAGGGAGGGTCGTCCGGCGGGTAGCTAGAGGCCTCAGGTAATTTTTCTTCTGATGAAGTTCTTGGTGTTTTGGTCTGGCAAGATTACCAAGTAAAAAACAATGAGAATAAAATTTTCTCTCCGTGTTTTGGTCTGGGATTTCCTGACGTGCCTCTTAAGGCAGCGCCTAGAGTGGGTGGCGTTCACCCCGCCAGCCTCCACAGTGTTTACAATTAAGTTCTTATCTGTGGTTACACTTAAGAGTTCCCACCGCTGTTGCCTACCTGTCCCGCTGTCTCATAAACCATAATTTTTAAGAAACTGCCTCCCTCGCTTCTTGGAATGGCTCTCTCTCTCTCTCTCTCTCTCTCTCTCTCTCTCTCTCTCTCTCTCTCTCTCTCTCCTAAGCTTTGCCAATGAAGGTGTTAAACTAAAAAACATCTCATAATTTATCCGTCTAGTGGTGTAGTAGTACCATGCCTCACACACACACACACACATGTACATATGTAGTATAGACCAAAGACTCTCCATCAGGTAGGTGTCCCCCGAGGGCCGCCCAGCTCCAGCAGGTGCCGAGGTGCGACCCTTGTGTTCCTGCAGCAGGTGAGGCAACACTGATCCTTTCTTGGAGGTGCTGGCTGTATCACGTTACCTACACTGTTTTAGTGATAATATTGCCATTAAGACTTAAAACGTAATGGAGTTTATCAGGAATAAATACTTTTCATTTAAGACGTCATTTGTTATCTTAATATGGTTAGGTTAGGTTACAACTGGGGATATTCACTCAAGAGTTGCACTGTATCCATCTTCATAACTGACCCTTAGTACGCATCAGTTCTAAATATCGATAAATAAATCACAAATATACTGGAATTATCGCTGCGACACCACTAACCTTACAACACACACAACTACTGTCTATAACCATTATACACACACACACACACACACACACACCCTGACATACTGGAGTAAGCGATGAACTTGTCACGAGAAATGTATTCAAGAGAGAGATAACAATGTTCCCAAAAGGTCAATCTTCTCTCCCTCCTCTCCCTCCCTTCCTCCCGCCTCCCCTTCCTCCTCGTCCAAGATGTTCACTGTAAAATGTTCACATGTGTTGGGAAGAAACTCAAGTGCACAGTTTAATGTACAACACAGACGCCTGCTGACAATGACCTACTTGGGGGTGGGGGGGTGTAGCGAGGCGGCCTTTCTTAGTTACCCTTGGTGATTATACGCTGGAGCAGTGTGTGTGTGTGTGTGTGTGTGTGTGTGTGTGTGTGTGTGTGTGTGTGTGTGTGGTGTACCCAAGTGATCGTCTCTATAAAGCTTTGTCAGTACATTATAATAAACAAATAAACACTGTAACTATAGCTCCAGCCTCCTCACCTCAGTGTATGTTTACAAGAAGAAACAAATGAACATCGTGAACACATTCTGACTGTCGCGGTATAAACACTCACTCCAGAAACTATCTTCACTGAGAGGTCCCATGAATTTGAGAATGAACACTGTTGTCTCGGTAGGGTTGTCAAAATCCTTCGTCCGTTGTCATATTGTTTAACACAAAACCGTATAGATACTTTTTTTTGCGGGGAGCGAGTACTGTACACAACACCTGGTACTGACTGACTGGCTTCGTTAGTCACCTGGGAAGCTTCACACGTCGTAGTAGAGGTGTAGGCCAGACACCTGAGACAAGAACCACGACCTCCTGTTGGGTTAGGTCAGGTTAGGTTAAGTTAGTTTAGGCGAGACCCACGCTTACTGACACTCACTTTACGAGAGAGTTTGCTGGCAGGAGATGGGGCCTGAGAGCTGGGAGTATATTCCTGTTATATTATAGCCGACACACTACAGGTTCAACCAAGGTTATATATTCTTTAGTGTAAAGTTCAGGTGATCAATATGTAACAGGACCTTGAGGGAGAGACATTGGCCACGCTGTAGTACAAAGAGATTAATTATCTTTATGTAGTTGAGGATAACAAAGGCGGTACAGACACCAGGTACAGAGATAATAACGAATACTCAGGGAACAGCACGACCTCACCTCACACCTGTTTCACCTGTCACACACACACACACACACACACACACACACACACACACACACACACACCTTTACGTCACTCAACCTGTGGTATAGTGTGATGGATCACTACCTCCGTGTCTCTGTCAGTCTCCGCCCACTGCAGTTCTCCCTCAGGTCTCCTCTGGGCTGACGAGGGAGACTGTATATGGACCACTGACTGACGTGCCACTGTAGACAACAGATATGTGGGCCAAGACGCCATTATTTCTCTCTAACAATCCTAACTTTGCCAGCTTTAACGTATCTGATTGGCTCTCGCGGTGACGTCACTTTACCTGATTGGTTCTGACGGCGTTACGTCACGTGATCAATCCGTAAAGACAATCGCGTGCGTCGTGAAAACACTTGTCTTCAGTTAAGTCGAGGAAGACAAGTTGGTAGCGGTGGCTGTGGTTGTACGAGGCGCACCCCACCGACCAGCCCTGCCCTAAGGCCTCTGGTTCTGGTTTAAATGATGCAGCCTTGAATTGATTTGTCGAGCAGTCCCTTAAGTGGTTCCACCCGTCCTCGAGTGGCCCTTCAGTACCCTAAAGAATAAGTTGGCCGGCGCCTTGAGGGAGCCAAACGTAACCTCAAGCCGTCCTCGTTGAGCTAAGGCAGCTACGAGTACTTGCTGAGAGTCGGCCGTTAGCTGAGTGTTGAAGCTTTCACCCCGGCCAAAGGAAAGCTGTGTGTGTGTGTGTGTGTGTGTGTGTGTGTGTGTGTGTGTGCGCGCGCTGACTGGCCCCTGCCTGCCACGGAGTCTTCAGGGGTTCCCTACACTATAAAGTTTAGGTTGTGTTAGGCCGGAAGGTCAACACTCGAAGGAAGAGGAGAACCAGACGTCATGGTAAGTATTGACCAATCAGCACTCGTCGTGCCCACATTAGCGTGGATGTGCCAAAATGACTCCCACGATGCTTCAACTTCGGCTTGGACGTGACCTAACCTAACCAAACCAACACCAACCTAACCCAATACGTACCCAGACAGAGATGCATCCCTCCACCTCCTCGACGACTCACCTGTGATACACCTGGTAGTGGCTCATTAGACGGTGACAGATAGTTTACACGTGTGTGTGGTGCTCCCGTGCGGTACACAGGACGCTGCAGGACACAAAAACTGAACTGGTTTAGGTGGATGAGACCTTATCCGTAGAGATCCGTGCGAGAGAGAGCCGATCCTATTAAGTCATCCAAGCCTAATAGGAGGTAATTGGATAATGCTCACAAAGATACACTGTTTAGAGTTAGAGCATCACCTGAGGACTAGCCCCCCACAGCTTGTAAAACCCCAGGATTAACCACCGTAACGTTAACCTTATCTAACATAACCTAACGCTAACCTAACCAAATCTAACTCAACCTAACTCAACCCAGTAACAATATCTTAAAAAATAATACTCAACTCAACACAAAAAAGTTGCTCGACAGAGGATGACATTTCGCTAGATTTGTTGAACTTCCCACTAACTTAACGACATCGGCTGTAAACACAAGACTCAACCCCAGAAACCCTCACACTAAACCACTAAACCCCTCACACTAAACCACTAAACCCCTCACCCTGTTAAACCCAGACCATACCCCTAAAACACCTCTACATTCGTCTCTTCTTCCAACTAATTGAAAATGAATTACTACAATTTTAAGTGGAATTTCTGAGCCGTTTCCTGGACCAGCTCTCCTGCATATCTCAAGTGCCTTAGGTGAGGGAGAGGGGGTTAAAAATGACGTAAGAATTGTTTAGTGACTCTAAGGTGTGAGTAGAGGTGAGGTACTGAGTAGAGGTGAGGTACTGAGTAGAGGTGAGGTACTGAGTAGAGGTGAGGTACTGAGTAGAGGTGAGGTACTGAGTAGAGGTGAGGTACTGAGTAGAGGTGAGGTACTGAGTAGAGGTGAGGTACTGAGTAGAGGTGAGGTTAGGTTAGGGAAGAAGAAATAATAATAATAACACAACAACAACAACAACACACACACCTGGTCCACCTAACAGTAAAAACTCAATAGACTCTGAAGGTTTAGATCAAGATGTACAGGTATTATTAAAGGTAATTATAACGCCATAACCAGACCTACCTGTAGTGTGGGGTCAAGAGCAACACCATGTAGGGGAGGAAGGGGAGAGGGGAGGGTCGTGAGGAGGGGAGAGGGGTTAGTAGGGGAGGAGGGGAGAGAGGGTCGTAGTAGTAGTAGGAAGTTAGTAAGGGTAATCGTAAGGGGTGGTCAAGGTAAAAGAGTCGTAGGAGGTGGGGGGAAGAGGGAGGGGGTTGTAGGGGGTGAGGAAGATAAGTTATAAGGAAGGGTCGTAGGAGGGAAGGTCGTATCTATCTATCTATCTATCTATCTATCTATCTATCGACGACTGTAGATATTTAATGAACAACTAAACACCTAGAGTATGACTCCAAGAAGTGAGGCGCCAGCTGAACTTTTAAGAACACTTAGGAGCGACGACAAACCAACGCAACACTCGCAATACTCACGACAACAACAACAACTCTGCAACACTTTTACTGAGAAGGACAAAGTTACTCCAGATGGCAGCGAGTGTAGGTCGAGGGGGGAGGAAGGGGTGTGAGGTAGAGGTAAGGGGTGAAGAAAGGGGGATATTTAAAGAGGTGTAGAGGGCGGTAGGGGGGAGGTGTGGAGTGGATGTAGGATGTCGGCCAAGACCATAGAATGAAAGAGGGAAGAAGGACTCCACTCCCTCCACTCCCTCCACACCCTCCA